TTTGTAGTCCAAATCGCGGCCGTGACGCGTTTTGCGCATGCGCAAACGCGTCGCGGCCGCGATTTGGACTACAAAAATGGCGGCCACGACATGCGCCGTGGTGGCTGCGGCCGCGAGTGCTATGATAGCGGCTGCGTGTGCGGGGGGGTCGCGCGCGGCGGAGGAGGGTACCCTCCTCCGCCGTGCGCAACCCCCCCCGCACACGCTGCCGCTACCATAGCGCTCGCGGCCGCAGCCGCCACGGCGCATGTCGTGGCCGCCATTTTGGATGTCAAAATGGCGGCCGTGACACGTTTGCCACGGATGTCAAATGGCGGCCGTGACACGTGACACGGATGTCAAAATGGCGGCTGCAGCAAGTGCGGCCAAAAACGCGCCAGGACGGCGGCGTATGGGGGTGCGCAGCGGCGGCAACGGCGGCAACCGACAGCCTGGGCCGGTAAGTCCGGGGAACAGGGCCGTTTCCGGCCCGCGGGCCGTAGGTTGCCGACCCCTGATATAAATTGTCTATTTAGATTAGCATCTGTACTCTTACATTATTACACAGTGTTAAATGAAGAATCAGTCAACTTTGAGAAGCAGAAAGTGTTCATTCTACTATCAACAATCATGACATGGGCCCGAAGCAAGCCTCTTGATCCAGTGAGTATTGGGGATGGGTGATGGGTGGGAATGAACAAACTCTTAAACATGATTTTAGCAAATGAACCTGTGCTTATATCATTTGACTTCCTAAATCTTTGGTGTCAGAATATGTGATGCAGTCTCATTTCTCTGAATGTTCTTGGTTCAGATGTCACTGCAGACGGTTCAGTGTTTCTTTTCTTCCTTTTAAAAACAGAACAGCTTTGTTTACAGCGTACAAAGCTGGGGTATCAATTATAGCTGTTGTGGTGGTTGTTACCATCATCATCATCTCAATTCTTTTTCCTAGAACTGAGATGAAAGTTGGTTCAACAAAATTAAAATAGATACAAAATTTTTTTTTAAAAAAAAGGTAAATGTACACTAAAAGTTACTATAAATAAGTTATTAAATTCGATGTAGAGTTAAAAACAATTTGAAGCATATATATTAAAAAGGGAAGAAATAACAACTAACTACTGTATATACTCGACTATAAGTCAACCTCATGTATAAGTCAAGGGCAGGTTTGGGGGCCAAAATTATGGGTTTTGATATGACTCATGGATACTTGAGGGGAAAATTTAGGGGCATATTATGGTAAATCGGATATTTACCATCCGATGTCATCTGGGGGAGAGACA